TGGTCCCCCAGGGTTTTGACCCACAGTCAATTGGTTACAGGAACCTGCGCATGAACTGCGGCGACTGTCCCTTGTTCGCTCACGGCCTCCCAGGCCATGAGCGCATGTGAGCGGGCGTCCCAATGGCACATTGCGGCGGCCTGAGTACGAAAGGCTGCCTTCCGGCCGTGAGGAATGCGGTCGGCTCGGCAGCCGCGTTTTTGTGAGATTCATGAGACGCAGCGTTTTTCTCACATTTCTTCCGCACCCTGAACAAGAAGTCTCCCAAGCCTTAAAGCATACTAACAAGCTAACATCGAAAGGCTTTTTGTTGGCCATTTTGGGGTTCAACCAGGAAACAGCCCAGACGAAATCGGGCGCTTTCCAGTGTCTGAGGCCTTGTCGGTGTTCCAGGACTTGGCCAAGTCATCCCTGCTGCCGGGCCTTCGCTGCCCGCCTTGAGAAGGGTCAGCTGGAAGGAAGCATTTCGGGACAAGTTGCCCAAATTGGGTCAATTGGTGGAAGGAGTTTGGGCGGTCGATTGCCGGGCGCATGTCAAAATGTGGCGGAAGCATGTGGATCGCATGTGGTAGCAATACGGCGCTCATTTGCCTTGAGTCGAGTGGTCGAAGGGAAATTGTGGGCTGATGCATTTCGTTCGACGAGAGGCACTCCGAAAAGTCACTGCGAGCCACGGCATCCAGGGGTTGCTCCCGTTGTCGTTTCCCTCCTGTGTCCCTCTACGGGTTGCAAGGTCACAGATTCGGGTCAATATCGGGCGCAGGCATGTTTGTACACGAGGGCTCCTGCCAAGCAAAGCTGTTGTACTGACCCCTGGCAAGCACATGGGTCAATGGGTGTGTCCCTTTCCGGGCATGCGAAAGTATGCATGGTGGTGCCTTCGTTTGGGTGTGGTGCCGTTTTCGAGCCTCGGTAGCGTTTTGCTGGAAAGCCAAAGGACCATTGCGCCCGTCCGCCATTTTGGAGACCTGGTCCAACTCCTGAAAGCGAGGCCTCCCGTTTGGAGGCAAGCCATGCAGCCACTGATCCAAGGCCCGGACAAAGTGAGCATCAACGTGGCCATCTCCGCCTGGGGACAAGGCGCACGAATCTCATTGGGTCCCGCCTCGTGGTCCCACAAAAAGCGGTTGGATGCGTTTGGTGATGTCCTTTTGGCCCACCCCACGAACAGTGTTTCTGTTTTACTAGCCCCGGGGTTAGTAAAGCAAGAACCTCAACACTCCACAATGTGATGAACAGGGGTTCTTCGCGGAAGAGAGGTTTTAAGCCACAGGTCAACCTGTCCAAATATTCCCCTACGATGGTCTCAGTTGTGCGCTCTTTGGCTTGCAAGTCCTGGCCCATGCCTGGGCTCATGCTCAAGCGGACCTGGAAACAAGCTTGCAAGTGGCCCATTCCTAGCTGGGCTCCATCAAGACCTGGAAACCTGGAAACAACCACTGGGTGTGGAAACAACCACTGGAGGTTCAAGACCTGGAAACAACCAGTGGATGTTCAAATGGCCTGCCCGGGGAAAAAAGCCTCTGACTGCCCGTGCCGCCCCATCCCGCCCCCGGCCCCGGATCGACGCCGGGACTCACGCGCCAGGCCGGCACTGGGGCCGCTCCTTGGGCCTATTGGCCGGGGAGCATGGGATCCGCTCCAGAAGGTGACCACTTCCATGTGCCGAAATGGATATCGTTTTTTGGTTTTTTGTTTTTTTTTTTTGGTTTTCCTCGCTGTTGGGTTCAAAAACAAAGGCTGTCACTACTGGGAATATGTGTTTTTTTCCAGTGGACCTGGCAGCTTCCAAGATGGTTGGAGGGAGGCTACCCATCTAAGCATCCGATTCAGTTAGTTGGACCAGCGCAACGATATAGCCAGCTTAACTACCAACTACTATCTAAGCAAGCCAGCATAGCTTAACTTACCGCGACACTATCTTAATTGGCACTCGAGATGAAGAACTCGTTGGGGTGTGAGCATATCGTGGTCCATTGGCGCAGCTCCGACGGGAAGTGAGCACACAGGTCTTCCAGGAGTGGCTCTTCAATAGACCGTTTCTCCGAACAGAGTGCGACACAAGCAGCAGATTCTGCATGCTGTCAGAGGTCTACCTTTTGCATGCACTTGTGATTTCTAGCTGTAGTTTTGCGTTAGTGTATGCGTACTTGCATGTATGTCAGTGTCAGTATTTGTGCCTTTGTGTCTGTGTGCATGTGTGCATGTGTGCATTTGCGTGTTGGTGTGCATTTGTGCATTTGTGGGTCTGCGTGTTTGCGTGTTTGTGTGTCTGTGTCTGTGTGTCTGTGTGTTTGTGTGTCTGTGTGTCTGTGTGTCTGCTTTTCTCGTTGGTGTGGGAAGAAGAGGGGGGTCTTTCATCCGCCGTTGCGCTCCAGGGGAGGGCTGTCTGTGGCCCTGGCGTTGTCGGCTGCCTTGGTTTCTTGGATCAGGCCCAAAAAGGTGTCCTTTCTAGGTTCGTGTGGTCAAAAATAGAGGGGTTCCACTGGTCTAGAGGGCTTCCTTTTTCTCCATTTGCCAGGGGAACCCAGCTATTTGTTTTTCCAAAAGGCCACTTTTGATCAGGCATTTCGTGTTTGGAAGGCCCATTTTTTTCAGACCCGTTTTGAGAGATGAGCTTCTGGTTGGGTCATGGAGCCATCGCCGCTCGACTCGCACGTGGCTCAAGGACCATCTGCCGCTTGACTGGTGGTCTCCGGCAAACCCCTAAGGAAAGGAGTTCTAGCCAAATAGCCCACCGGAGATCTGCCGAGCCCCGACGAGCAGCTCGGCAAGAGTTTTTGCCCAGGATGGGGGGCGCTTGTCAACTTTGGGGATGAGGGATTGTATGGAACCCTGATTGCCGATCAGGCTGCTTTCAAAGACTTGTTCGCCATGTTGCTTCCCCAGAATTAGCTCCCCTTTTCGCTTTTTTGCATTTTTGGGGTTCCCTTTGTTTTCCACTAACCAGGCAAAAAACAATAAAATTGCTGGGGTTCTAATTCCAGCCTAGTTTGCAAATCCATTCTTTGCTTCCTTTGCCGGCTCAGCTTTGCTCAGGTGAGCCGCATCGCTGCGCAGGACGCTTTTGAACGCCTGGCTTGTCCGCACCCGAAGGGAAGAACAAAAACAGCGGCCTACACCTTACCAGTTTTTGCCAGTACTTGGTGATGTGAGCGACCGACTGCTTAGTAGACACCAAAAATGACGCTGGCAGAATAGTTTAGGAAGGTGAGTCGCTTGTACAAATGTCAACGAGATCGCCCATGTCCGCACCGAACATACCACATCCACCCGAACACACGAACAATTTTGACACAGCAAGCATGGAACTTGTTCAGCAGCTCATTTGAGCCGCTTGGTATGGGCGTCGCCACAAATAGATCTGGCGAATTTTAATACCAATCGGTTTTCATTGTGACTCGTTGCATGCCACCTGGAATCCGCATCTGACCTGGCATCCCGGCATCCCGTGCCGGGATGCCCACCTGCCTGCCCCTTTTCTGCATGGCCACGGCCGAACCCCAAGTCAAAAGCTGATTGTGTAGGTCCATATGTGAACCCCTGGGCATGTTGGAGTCTTCGGGGGCTGATTTTCCATCATCAAGCCATAACCAACGGTTAGTTAACCCATAAACAAGGGGTGCTGTCATACCAGCGGTTCATTTCTGGATGTATAATTTGAGCCTTTGACCAAGCGCAAAACCAACGTGCTGTGGCTTCTTCCAATCAGCCGAGTCTGAATCTTCCTGACCCCACATGGCTTCACATGCAGATGGCGCTTTCGATGGCAGGACGGTGAAGCCGCTTGCAGCATGCAAAGCAACGGTCGGGTCGAGCACGCAAAGCACGATGCATTTTCCTATGCAGATGCGGTGGCTTGGCAAGATTCTTGCATCTGTTCCCGGCTTGAACTGTTCTCTGCAGCTGGCCTGATAAACTGCCACCCTCGAGCCAAAATCAATGTGGGGAGAGGGCCCCACTTTTGTACGCCCCTGTGAGAAAGCACGCATTCTGCTATCGGGTTTCAGATATGTTTCTTTGATACCATAAGTTGGTCATGACTGTTGCTTGGTCTGGGAGGAGCACAGTGCAATGCTAGAATCCAGTTCTCCGTGCTTTAGCCATCATTTAAGGGGCTGGACCAGCTTCACGGATTGTATTATTTTTATTTGTTCATTTAGTTGTATATGTATGTATTCTTGTTGTTTTGGATTGGCTCTGAAGACTACAACCCTTCCTGCCAACTGACGCTGATGTTGTACGTTGCGTGACCAAATCATGCAAAAAGGACACCTCTCATCGAACCGGCGGGCTCAGACTCGGACAACTGAATCGGGACAAGTCGGACTCAGCAGCGGACCCATCCACCTCATCAGATTGATGGACTTCTTACTCGGGCTCGGACTTATCGCAAACAGTGCGGGCCGCCCTCCTTGATATTGCCGGGAGGACTTTGTGAATTGTCCATCCTACCCCCATCCACCCCCACCCCTCAAAAAAAGAGAAACGAACAGTGCCAACCAAAAGAAATCTATGGCTCGACGCTTGCCTGAACCCCCCCCCCCCTCGTCCGTTCCGTTGCCGATACCATTTGATACACCTTTGGTGCCTAGGGTTTTTCATTAGCACCTTGCTTTGGGCTCGGGTCTCATCCTGGGTGTCGACAAGGGTTGCTAAGGCGAGTTGTGAGCATTATGTGGATGAAGGGGTTTCTGGTCCATGGCCTTTTCGGCTTTCAGACTCACTCGGCCGAGGTGGCGAAAAGTACAGGCCTCAGTGACGTGAACAGGGGAAACACATATGGGTAAGTGAAGGAAGGGGTGACTAAACCATAGGGGAAGTGTGCCATTTACTTCAACTGTAGTGACTACACTGTAGTGATTGATTCGAGCGGCTGGGGAGAAGGGCAATGCTCTTTACCAAAGTTTGTCATGGGATCTATGCAGGCCGTGAAGTGTTTGAGAGAATCATTGCGTGCAGCAACAGAAGGGGATCAAGATAGATTACCTCTTGCTGAG